CGATTAGATGAAACCCATTACCCAACAACAGAAACGAGAAATGAAGAAGATGAAGTCATGAAACTGACCTGTGAAGAAGAGTAGGAGTGCTAAGACATGGAAGGAGAGACAGAGCTTTGCCATCTTCTAACAAGTCTGAGAGAATGAATAGTCCCCCCACCTCTATCAATAACAACGCTAAGGCTCGGCTCCATCATGTTTTAATAGAGCCTCTCTGTGTGGGAGTTAATGGGTTCATGACGTGCATGAATGTAAACACTGGGTCGAGATTTGATGGAATCTCATGCTCCCGTGTCACTAACACTCACGAGTCACGAGTCAGGACAGTATCAATTGTGTCATCATTTACTCTGAGAGGGCCTGATTATCCAGCTGCTGTTAATAGGTCCCGGATCCATCAATTTCAATTCTGGCTTTCTGGGCACAATAGAACGTACATTAGAGGACCAGCACTCAGTGAACGGCGAACAGACCTGCTGTTATTCATATGGGTTTGGCTAACTGGGTCGTCACAGGTCAAATGGTTTGTTTCATCATTCAGTTTGGCTGTTAGATTCATTCAAATAAAATGTCAGAAAATCAAAAGTTTTCTAAGAAGTAAGAACCAGTGATTGTTTTAAAATTCAAGGCACCCAGTAATAACTGATTTTTTCTCTTTTTCTGACTTTCATTTGAATGCTGGCGTGTTATTGTGGGGTGGCAGCAGATGTGATCTCACAAATACAGGTATTTGCAGGAATCTGACAACAGTCCTGAATGTTGACACAAGCTCAGAGAGAGAGAGAGAGAATGGTATTGAAGCAGCACATGGTATGTTAATGGTTATCATTGATATAAAGTCCACTCAAATTCAAGAAGAGTATTACTTTGGATCTAACATTTACTGATAAGACCATGCAACTCATTCAAAAAACTTCCTGATGCCTTCTGAGTTCTCACAGTACTATGAAGAGGAGAACCATTACAGATTAGTACCTTTACTTGGGGCTATTCTTACTTCAATATCCGAACTTTAAAACAAGTCACTGTAGTATCTAAGCTCTCAAAAATTGCCAATTTAGTATCCATCATTAGCAATCCTTCAGTTATGTGTCACATGACAAATGTCACTTAAAATTTTTTAAATTATTAAAATTACCCTTTTTGATATCTTTAAGTATCCATCATTAGCAATCCTTCAGTTATGTTCCCAATTGCAACGAAAAGAGAAAACATGGCTATTTTGGTCATTTCAAAAGTGATGGTTCTCTCACTTATTCAAAATTCAAAGGGTATTATGTCCTTTCATATGCCATCCAACATCGAGTTAAGATTTTGGACGAAATTGATAATTTTCAAGAATTTAGGTATTGCAATGACACATTTTAAAGTTAAGATACTAAAATGAAACTAATCCCAGAGTATAGGATATTAATATGCAATGTATCTAAAATTGTAAATATACTGGATAAAAGGGCTTAAAATAAGAAAAAGAGTAATCGAAATTAGCAGGAAAGAATCATAAAGAAACCTAAGAAAGTGTAATTATCCTTATCGAGGCAGTAAGCACCCACTCGAAGTCTCGAACCTTGACAAAATTGGCTTCAACCGTTTCATTGAAGCTTCGCAACAAATGCTTAAACCTTGAAAGGAAATTAAGCACTGTTTTCAAAATTGGATCGGACCGGACGGTCAGACTAGAAAAATCGGGAACTGATTACCTGATCGGTTCCATTTTCCTCCAAAATCACTTTTTTTCTTAAAACCGTTGGTTTTGGTCAACAAACCACTGAATTGGCTGATTAATCGTTTGAACCGTTCGAACGATTTTGACCATTTTCTAATTTTTTTTTTATTTTTTCTTAAATTTTTTTTAATTTTTTGTCAGAACAAATCAACCATTCGAGTCAAACAGTCAAACCATTTGAACTATTAACCGGACCCCTGACCGGTTCGTTTTTAAAAACCATGAAATCAAGTACGGGATTTGGAGTTGGAGAGAAGAGTGGGGAATGGAAGAGCACACCCAGACCCACTACACGGAATAAAGAGACTAACTAAAGTCCCGATTACACCTGTTATTTGTTAATTAATTCGTCTAAACGAAATCATGCTTTGATTTGTAATATGGACTGATTGCAAATTTATGAAGGGTGTTCCACTCAAACTCAACTGGACAACTAGAGAGTAGGGGCCAGCTATTTAATTTAGCTCCACTCTCTTTTCAGGCAAAATAAAACGCATGATTTTTAGACGGGAATGGCGAATGAAAATGATGGATCATAAGTGATACTGCATGCGCGATCTTCCTATTGGAGGACAGTTCAGATATCGGGTTGATGAGGTTGGCTGGCTGAACTGCAAGATAATAGTGTTAGAGTACTCGGGGTGGGTTTTCTGATATTTAAGTTAGCGAAGAGTTTTTGTGAAAGYTAGAAAGCAAGAGAGCAAGAGAGTTATGAGAGTTAAATCACGCGTACCTTTTTTGGTTGAAGGGAGCACCTTTATATGAGCGCAAGTAGTCATGAGTTTCAAGTAGTGCATCCAAGATCTTCGTGAGGATGTGGCTTATCTGCCCACCTCGCTTAGAGGTGATTTTTTACTCAAAAACGATCTCCACATAAAGAGATAGTGCTTATCTCGCTCGTTACCTCTGAAGCGGGCAGCATAGGAGCCAACTCCAATGATGAGGCGACGTGATCCCGAAGGATAAGGCGCACATAGAAGAAGCCAGTCGCCATGTCAAGTAGGTCGCCAATTGGACCGAAGCCAGATCGATGGGACCTCGGCGGGAGGTCGCCCCTTATGCCGAGGTGCCTACAGATCAGCTCTACCGAGGTGGCATCGGTATGCTTTCACAGTGTGCATGGTGTGTCTGATGTGCCTCTGAGGTGGTTCCAAAGTGGACTCTATTATCTAAGCAAAGGGAGGTCATTGCCTACGTGACACCAAGGTGTTAAGCAACAATTTGAAAGTGCCACATGGCATAATGTTACCGGATGGACAAATTCCCCCCATCAATAACCAGCCTCTCTGATTTGCAATCAACTTATTGTAATTAGCCATCTAATCGAACAGTAATGTTTCACCATTGTAAATGGCTCCCTCTCTGGAGCTCTGTTCTTTCCCATTATCCTACTCCACTTGCCTTCATCTTCGGGTGGTCCCTATTATTTGAGATAGAGGTGTCAATTGGACGGATTTGGTCCAACCCGATCCAGTCCAATGTGAGTCCACTTATAAATGGACTAGACCCAATCCGGTCCAAATCCAATTCAATCCATTAAAGTGTAAATGGATTGGATTGGTTCCAATTCAAACCGAATGAAATATCAAAAATTATATAAAAGCACTTTTAGCATTGAAAAAGAACTTTTGTAAAAGTACTTTGATAAAAATATTTTCATAAAAGTGCTTTTACAAAAGCACTTTATTGAAAGTACTTCAGAAAAGTGCTTTTATACTTTTGTAAAAGCACTTTTGTATAAGTACTTTTGTAAATGCACTTTTCAAAAATGTACTTCCATAGACTTTTGTAAAAGTACTTTTATAGAAGTGCTTTTGTAAAAGTACTTTTATAAAAGCACTTTCGTAGAAGTGTTTCTGTAAATGTATTTTTGTAAAAGCACTTTTCGAAAAGTACTTCCATAGACTTTTATAAAAGTACTTTTGTAGAAGTGCTTTCGTAAAAGTTTTTACATAAGTGATTTYCTAAAAGTGCTTTTATAAAAGTACTTTTATAAAAGTGCTTTCATAAAAGTACTTCCATACAAGTTTTTTTGTATATGATTTCATAAAAGTGCTTTCGTGTAAAAGTACATTTATAAAAGTGCTTTCATAAAAGTACTTTTGTAAAAGTGTTTTTATTAAAGTGATTTTGTAAAAGTGCTTTTATTAAACTACTTCTGGAAAAGTGCTTTCATAAAAGTACTTTTGTAAGTATTTTTATGTGTTTTCGTAAAAATATTTTTCATAAAAGTACTTTTATAAAAGTGCTTTTATAAAAATGTTTTCATAAAAGTGCTTTCGTAAAAGTACTTTCATAAAAGTGATTTTATGCTCTTTTCAGTTTTGATTGATTTCAAATTGGACAAGGGTTTGGCCTCATGATTGGATTATTGGAAATTTGGTTTAGATCTAATTCAAACTAATAACAATATGGACCAATTTATTTTGGATTGGCCTAATCCAATAATTAGAATGGACCGTCCAAATCCGATTTGATAAGGTTTGGATCCAAACCAAAACCGGTCAATTAACACCACTAATCTAAGATGAGATGTCCAGGAGTATACCACAGGGCGGATAATCTGCACGCCAATTCTGGACCATCCCATAAGAAACAAAGAATATCCAAATTATATCTCACAGACCTAAGAAACTCGAGCTACTGACTAAAAATGTCTTGAAGCTCTTGGTTGATGTGAGAAATGTAAGATCTCAACTGTCTGTTAAGAGGTATTTTCAGGAAGTATTGGATTCTCCATAGGAGGACTTTTCTTTTCTAGCTCCATGCGAGGACCTTGAACAAGGTATTGGTAGTGCATAGCGTTTTGCAGAAGATCCAGAGCCAGGAAGAAGTCGGGGGGGTCCTTTCATATTTCGTCATTTTTTTATATCATATTTCCCTCTCTCCGATGATCTGAACAAACACAGGAGATGCTCTCAATGCGCAACTGTAATGATGTATTGGTAGGTGAATAGGATTATTGTGGGTAGGAGATCCAAACACCTAAAAATCACCATCCCAAATTTACTTTTTTTTTTGCTTTCTAAAAAATACATTACATGGAAAGTGGAGAAGAGTTCATTTGGAATTTTATGCAAGCTCTGAATACAACCAACCAATATATGGAAAGTAGGTCATCAGATTATGCTGACACAGATGAAAGCGATGCTTAATTTGATAATCCATCCCAGAACTTAGCCCCGTCTGTTTTGGAGAGAGATGCCTTCGGCTCCTTTTTATTGTTTTGATGTTTGACACTGGATGGAAGGTGCAAATCTCAGACGCGGATGCATTAATGCAAGCAATTAAATCAACCATCATTTCCATTTTCCTTCAATTAATTTTTAATGAATAAATATAGCATAGAAACTAATATACATCCCTGAAAACTTCTGCCATGTTTAGATTTTAGAACAGGGGAAGACAGCTTTTTTACTCTTCCACAGCGGAATGGGTCATACTGAATGTAATAAAGTGGAGGCACTTCTCTTGTCAGACAAGATCCTCTCAGGCATCTTGCCAGTAGACTGGTTCTTACTGCCACAGCTACCGCTACCTTCTTTCCTAGAGACAGATCGCTGCATTATCCGAATGGGTATCCCACCCATATCGAAGTCTTCTTTCAAAGACTTGGTTAAGAACCTCAGATCTGTATCTGATAGTTGTTTCTTCCCACTCATAAAAGCAACAAAAGTTGGTGGTCGGGCTTTAACTTGTGTGAAGTACTTGATTTTGGGTTGTGCAGCTTGATCTTTCCAAGAATGCCTGCTCATAACCTGTTCAACCAGAACAAAAATCTGTCATCTGTAGGATCATGCCATGCTCAGAACATTGCGTGTGTGATTAGGACTACATGCAGTCCACCACCACCCCACCCCAAGACCCTGGATCACTGGGATCAGCACCGAGCAAATGGCTTTTCACATTACCAACAAATGATTTTACAGGCACTACAAGCTTACCTTGCGCAGCCAACGGTTAAGGCGTGCTGTTGACAATCTTAAACACCATTTTTCATAAGTTCCAATGACTTGGCGCATGACTGCTGTCCGACCCCTTCCCTCCAATGCAGAAACAAATACAACTGGTATCCCTGTCACCTGCCAACAAACTGTCTTTGTTAAAGGTTGACTAGATTATCATTGATTTAGGCATCAGAAGGTATTATTGGTTCAAAACGTGTTAAACTTTTCCTATAACTTACTTATTTAGTTTCTTAAACTTAGATTGCAGACAGGGATGTAGAAGTATGCTTGCTTAAGTTCTAATTGTGAAACTACAGGGAAAATATTTTCTTTCAGCGTCTGCAGGGGCAAAATGTGAATCCTTTTGAAGATAAAATGCAATATCACAGTATATGCAAATGTTTTATATTAAAAAAGGAACTAGAATCTTCTTTGAATTACAGAAGAAAACGTAAAAGTAAAACTAGATGATTGGCAAGTTTTATCTTATACTCCAAGATAGCCCATCATAATACACCTAAATCAATAAATGGGGACCTTCTAGTTTGCATGGGATTAAAAATCTCAATTAACTTGCTTATGGATGGATAGATCAATTAGACCTAATAAGGAAGCAATAACATCATCATCATCATGGAAGTATCCAATATCAGCTATCTACAGCACTTTGTAACAGCAGAGGAAGACATAACTAAACCATTTAAATATTAGTTGCTTATTTCATGATGTGGAGTCTAAAACTTTGCATCTAATGGTTTTATCAAGTACAAGGTTCCAGATTGGTACTTTGAATGCAAAACTTCCCAAGTCTACTGTCAGAATAATTGCATGACAAGCATGGATATTATAAAGTCCAGAAAAGCATTGAAAGCAGAATCCTATTCTTACCAAGTGACCGATGCTTCCTGATAGAACCCAAGCACACAAGGGCCAATCCAGAGGGCAACATTACATAATGGGTCGTTACTACAGCCGAGCTAGACTATTGGGCTCAACCCCAGGCCCCCAGTGAAGTGTGTCTATACAAGGAACCCACATCAACAGATCTGAGATCTGGCAATTACAATGGCACTAGTTAGTTATTCTGATAGTATCAGTTGTAATCATGATCGATTTCATGAGTCACCCAGCTATTAGGGTGATCCCATTTGAGGATGAATAATGAAGAAGCCATTAAAATGATAATCGATACCAATGTTCAAAATTTCAATATGATATGCCCCGTATTGGGTGTATTGTATCATACCAGTGGCCCATTGATATGCTATTTTTAAGGGTTTCTCAAAAACTAATGTTTTTAAATGATAAATATTGTTAAAACAGTCGCCCTGGAAAATTTGAAAGTAAAAAAAAAATTAAAAAAAATAGATTTCCACTCTATCGAAACACCTGATATGCATGTTCATGCGTATCAGGTGTATCAATACTTTGAACCTTGGTCGAGACTGATGGATTGAAACTTTGTATTATTTTTTAAATGACTTCCATAATCATTAAAAGAGAACCCGAATAGTTAATTACTAAACTGATGTTAGAGCTTTTGGAAGATATGGATAAAAAGTCTGTACATCATGCTGGGCAGATACAGACATTGTAAAGCATTTATTGTTAGACTCTCTTCTAAAACAGTTCAATGCACCTTCTTTGGCCCTTCATTGAATCTTGGGTTACACTTGCATACACCATATAAATTTGACTTCTGTATAGTATCCTAGTTAACTATGTCATTTGATAGACATGCTCTAGAGGGTGATTCTAGGCTTCTAGCCTTCATATGCTAGAAAATTTTCCTTTTCTAACATAGTTATTAATTATCCAAAAAAAATCAATAATTACCAATATTAAAAGGAAGAGAGAACATAAGCTGAAATTCTTAGAAATTAAGCCAAACTTTTCTGAACAAGTCAAAGACTAAGAAAGAGATAATTTGCCTTCGTAATGAAGCAGTCATTCTTCTAGTCTTCTGGTTGTCAATAGTTTCAAGGAATTTTTTGTAACCAACTTCTACTCTACATGCTATAATTTATCACCCCCTCATAGTGTAATGAACAGAAGACCCTTTCTTTGTGCTTCCACAAGGGGATTCCAATCCCCTTTGTTTTCTTTTCAGTTGCGGTTCCCCCTTTTCCTAATAAAATCCATAAAGTAACACATAAATGTCATGGGCAAGGGAAGTGACAAACCTGGGGTATGACAGTTTGAATTTCTTCTGGAACAGCTTTGATAACCTTCTCATATAACTTAGAATTTTTGCTCCCTTTTAGAAGATCCATCTTGTTCACAATAACAACCAGACCACGACCCTCTTCAACTGCTCGTCTTGCTATAACTGCCTCAGAATGCTTCATGCTGCTTCTGGCTCTTGCAATCTAAATGGATCACAGGTACACACACAGCAAAAAGTTACAGAGATCCAAATATGTTGGAAATAGAGATGAATCTCCTGTATCTAAATAATTTGGACATTACCTACAACAGAAAATGCCGGACATTATATACGGTTATAGAATGCATGTTACCTGGTGGAACTGAGTCTTCAAAAATGAAAAATGAAAAAAAAAAGTATTTCCATAAAAAAAAGCATATGAAATTTGTAATGACACATGAGGAAGAGGAACAAATAACCGCATTTTCCAAGAGAAGAACAGGCCAATAAATACATATCAGAGAACAATCTAAATCAAGAGTGCCATGTGGGCAATAAATTTTTTGTTTCTTTTCTTCCTTTCTGATCAGTAAGAGAAGAAGAATAAAGAGGCAATAAAAAAAGAGACAGGGGACCAACCCAAGAAAAGATAAAAAACAAAATAAAACAAAGACAACAACATAATATAAATAAGCAAGAATACAAACAAAGGAACAATTTGAGATAGATGGCCCACCATGTAACTCACATTTTTTAATGGAACATTTCAAAGAGAATTAGCAAGCAAGTTGGTTTGGCATATATTGAACTGAAAATGTTTAACCTGGATGCTAAAACACAAGCATGTTTGACGAAGAATCTACAGAAGAACCTCTCAAATCCAGGGATTTCCCAAGAATCTGACCCTGATGGAGGCCCATCCCAAGACCCACATCACCTTAGGGGCGGCAGCTCCTAGGATAAGGATAAGTCAAGATCCAAGAAAGAGATAAGTCAAGAAGGGATTCAAGATCCATCAAGAATTCAAGAATTCAAGATAATCAAGAATTCAAGATAATCAAGAACTCAAGAATTCAAGATAATCAAGAACTCAAGAATTCAAGATAATCAAGAAGTCCAGAGATCAAGATAATCCAGACTTCCAAGATTCATGCATGGAGATCGGACGGTGAAGATCATGGCAAAGAAGCCGATCCTATCAAAGATCAAGATCAAGAAGAATTCGACCCTATCCAGATTAGATGTTTTGATGTCTATCTTAGTTGTTCTTTCCTAGTTATCCTATGATTTCCAGATGTATTATAAATACTGCTATTGCTTTCAGTTAATGGACACTTCAGAATTATTCATCAATCTTCGCCACCTTTTCTCTCTCCTCTAGAGTTTTCTTTCTTTCTTGCTTCGCTAGAAGCTTGGCTCGCCCGTTGCTTGCATAGCCAGCCCGGTTTATTGCTTCCATGCTGCGTCAGACCCTCTCAAAATAAGTGAGATAATTTGCTAGAAACTCTATGAACACCCTCAAGAAGTCATCCTTGACAACTTCTCCAACTGTCCAACATTTTTTATCAGAAGTGATGATCAATCCAAATCATTAGTTTTAATATGATTTTGTTCTTTTCAAACCTATTATGTTTTTGAGTACATCATCATAGATGAATTTTTTCCTTCTTATTTTCTATTATGAAATTTATAACTATACATAAATTTATCAAAATAAAGTTGATGTTTTAATGTTTTCAACTCTTAACAAAGAACAAAAAATATAATAGCATAAGAAGCATATTCATATTTAAATAATAACATTTATATTAAATAAACATAATAAATTAGTATTAAGACTAAAAGATTAACAATGTATTATGTAATAATTTTTAAAGACCTAAATTTATTCTAGGTGAAGAAACAGGCTGTCTTGAAAAGGTATAATCATTCTAAAAGCATCATTATTATTACTATATAATAATGTAACTATTTAAAAGAGTATGTCCTTTAATACTTTCAAAAAGTATTTTATTAGATTAATGTTTACAATGTTATAAAATTTTACAATAAATCTATACAAAATTTCTAATATTTCTTATTTTTAAGTGGTCAACACATTTAAACCTTACTTCCTGAGAGAGCATCAATTAAGATCTATGGTTTCATGTATCTCCCAATCATCCCCAAACAGCTCCGGAAATGGAATCAAATCATGGAAGTAACAAAACCATGAATAAGTAGGTGGTGCTTTTCCGTTTCCCCTTTCTACTTGCAGAATGCAATGGGCACCAAAGTATATGGCCAGTGCAGAAAATTAGGAATTTCATAGAGTATATATATAGAGAAGATCATGCCGCTGAATAGAGAACCATTGTGTCAAGAGAGCATTGGAAGAAGATGCAGATATTCCTCCTAAGAAGACCCCTGCCATTTCAAAAATCAAGAAATTCTGTTGGGTGCTCCCTTATGATTTGCAGCTTGGCAAGGGTCAAGATAAGTATATGGAGAAAAGCTCAAGGTTACCTTAGAAGCTGACTAGCCAACAGTAAGATAGGACCACAAGATAGGCACCTTGGGTTGAGTCCTCAGTTTCTCAACTAAAGATATTGCTCCTCATTGGATTTGCACTTAACAGGCTAACAGCTAGGGTCATTCCAAAATTCAATAAACAACAAAATCTAAACTTGCAATTTTTTATAGAAAAGCCTAAATCACAAGTCTTCAAGCTATACATTAAACTGAGCTAAAATTAAGGTTGAACCCTTGATCATGATTCCAAGTAAGGAGCATCTCAGCTTGGCTCATTAATATTCCTAGTTCAAGGCTATCTTAAGGATGAGATGAACCACTGATCCCAAATGTTAGCAACAATTGGACAAGAGGATAGTTCAGTATTAGGACTGAAGAGAAGTTTTTGTTCTAAATCACCATACTTCCCTCGCAACCTGCCTTGGAAGACAAATTAACAAATTAATCGAACCAGGCTGCACAGAACCTTCAAGGCTTGAAGAGCCTTTCCTAACCATTTTTCTTTTTTTTTTCTTTTTTTTTCTTTTTTTTTTTCCTTTTTTTAGAATGCCTTTACATCTAACAGGGATCATGTTATTATTATATATCTTTGAAAAAACATATATGCACAAAGAACAGTATGGTACATAACAAACCTCTTCTGCATCAAGGACCAAAGCAACCACATTAGCCCTCATAAGACTTTTTCTTGACTGCATAATACTCAAGGATGCTGGTCCTTTTTCCTGCTTTGTCCTTTGCAGCCACCCTGCAGTATCAACCTGAATAATAAAGCAACTCCATTATAAAAATATATCAACTAAAATGTCCAATGACATCTGATGTCACTCATGGTTTATCAAAGAAACATAATGGTTTTCCTTTTTTGGGGTAGGAAAAAAAAGGTGAAAGTTGAAGTATGAATATAGTAAAACCGACATTACGGTCTGTTAAAAAGATGTGGGGCTTTCTTTCTCAAGTCTCAACAAATATACTCTCCACTACAAACAAATAACTATAATAGATAATTAGTCCAATAAGGTAAGACCAACAATAGAGCTCATCTAACACTATGTCAGATTTAAAAGCACATGCAAATTTGATAAACAACCTTCTTATGAGAATATGATTGGAAAGTAAACATGTAGAATGGTGGTTTGTCAAACAAAATGCAATCTGATAGAACCAACCAATTTGAATTTCTAACAAAAAAAAGAGTTAACTGGACCAACAAAGGACCTTTTATTAATACAATCATACTTTACCCTTTTTCAAAAAACAAATGATATAGTACTATTGTATTGCTGAACAAACAAAATCTGAATGATATTAGATTGAGGAAGAGAATATATTTCACCAACAAGAGTCATAGTTCATAAATGAGAAAATAAACTTCCAGAATGTAACCTTGTTTTTGAGAGGAGAGAAGGATAAAGTATGGAGGAATCCCCAAAAACTATATGGTGAGAGACTGTATACCCACCAGAAATAAAATCCCTTAATTACAAACAAAACAAAATAACAGCATTCAGCCCAGTAACAGTTCCTGGGTAAACAGAAAACAAAAACTAACATTTCTAAACATCTCCCCCACTAATAGCCACAAAAACACCAAAGAAGTTGCACTTTTGAGAATTGCATCTTATTGCTTTTCTTGATTCTCAAAAATTCTAGAATTTCTTTCTGTCCAGATACTCTAGATGATGGCCACCAGACTAGCCTTCAATATCAATCTATCTCTACAGTTAAGACCCCCCAAATGCCATCCAATCAGAGCCTCCTTAACTGATCTGGAAAAGCACCAGTGCATGTTTAGGCATCTTGGGAAGAAACACCATATCTTTAAACTCGTAGGGCAATGGATGAAGAGGTGTCTGAAGATTCTGCAGGGTGATTGCGGAAAGAGAAATTCAAAGAATTGAATAGAAAAACTCAAAGACAAGGTGCCCAAACCTCCCCTTAACTAATTCACCTATATAAGATATTTATCCAGAGATATGCAATCCATAGAATGAAGCCAATCTTAGAAGGTACCCTTGGGAGCCGCACAATCTCTAAATGAGAAAATTCCTATTGCCCTCAGTAGTCAAGTTTTTAATACATAGTTTAACTGAAAAAAAAAAAACCCTGATTTCTCCCACTTCCACCTCCTAATATCCACATAGCCAACCCTTGGAAAAAGGTTTTGAGGTTGCAGGAACAAGGCTGCTACCTAATCCAGYTCCCTATCAAATAAGTTTCTTCAAAATGTTAGGGTACAAAACACCTTATTTTTCACTATCTCATAGAATTGCTGCACCCTGTAACTTGATAAAGCTTAATTATTTCATCTTCAGCTTACTCATAAGTCATTATTAACCTGCGTGTCCACTAAACAAGAAAAAGGAGAAAAATATTTAAATCCATCTCATAAAAAACTTACTCCAACAAGCAGCCTTTTGGCATAGTCCAAACGCAATAAGATTTCCATTACTGAATGATGGCCAAGGTTCAGAACCAGCATTATTACTAAAAACCTCAAGGAACAAATGTTTTTCAAGATACTAAATACTACAATCATGCATGCAATGTACCATGGATACATCAATTAATGCTAATGCTCTGAAAGAGGTGGAGAATGGTAATTCATGGTTCAACAGTTCAACCATCCAATTCGAAAAGTTTGACCGCTGACATCTGGAGATGCAATAAAAACATTAAAAAAATAGGAAAATAGGGAAAATATTTAAAAAAGGAAAACAGGAATAGGATAGCAAGTAACCAAAAGAAAATCCATACCAAGAAATTAATTTTTTTTTCTAATAAATTTTAGGTAAATTTATATTTATTAACAGGATAGTTACAGTGGTTTTTGGCCAAGTCCATGATTCTTTATAAGATGACAATATGGGGTTAATCTGAACTGATTGGTGACCAGTTCAGAATTGGAGTGTCAACTGTCCAATCTGATTAAACATCTCAAGAAAAATCTTGGGGATCAATGGTGACATTCAGCTGGTAGGCCAAGGAAACAAACTCCTTAACATAAAAAGTTCTCTGTAATCTGTATTCGCAAAATCCTCTTCATCCACCTCTTCAGGTTCTCCAATTTGAATAAAAGATAATTAAATAAATATAGGAAAATTCAATAGTTTAATCCATCTTCTTTTTCCTCTTCACAAACCAGTGCTTAAGATACATATAACAAGATTCAAGGGTATTCTGGCCTTTTCCTTTATGTTAGGGACTAGGGCTTATCTGGCATTTTTGTACCAATCTAGGGATAGATTGGAAGTGAATTTAGGTACATGTCGCACAGTTGATAATTTAAGTCAAATGTTTGTTGCAGACCAAACAAACAGTTTGTCATAAGGCAGTGTAGGAGTTCCTTATTGCACAAGTGTAGTCTCTAGGGCTTTCCTTCTTTTCTTAACTGAAAAGATTGCATCAAAGAGGCTCTGAACAGGCCACTCAAGAAAGGATGGAAAAGATAATAAGGCTCCACAAAGCACATCCCTGATGCACAGAAAGAACCCAAATGCAAGGAATCTCTCCTCACACCCTCTCTAGCAAGCTTGTGAACAACTTGCTTCCTGAAAGATAGGCTCAATGTCCACATACCTTTACCAAGTAACAACCCTAATAATGACCTTTTGAAAGCCTATTGGTAGACGGTTTACATCCTTGGAGAAAACATAAGAGTTCTGCTCTCACTGATTTGCCATCACTCAGACCCCAGAGGCCCAGTCACACCATAATAACCAGACCTCAAACCTGAAGATTCTGCCTATTCCACAGGCCACCTCTGCTCGAGGACCACTATAATAACAAGATGAATTCATAGGTTTTCATAGGCCATGTCCAGGATTTGAACATAGAAGACAGCAAAGAGGCGTGGAGGGTACTAGAAGTAAACATTAGAAGTAGAACAAAAGCAAATCAGTCAAATAGGTGGTAGAATGAAAATGATAAAAAAATGAAAGATGTGAAAATATATCTTGATGTACATTATTAGAGTAGTCCTTGTTGTACAGTATGTAGTTCTTATTATTTTATTTGTTCTTTTTATCTTTAAGCCATGTAAGGGCATTCTCGTAACTGTACATACCTTTTATCTCTTTAATATAAAAGAGACTCTTTGGGGTTGACTATTCTTGACACCCCTAGATCTGTTTTCTTCTTGCTCTGAATTTAGTTCACATGGTATCAGAGCAGGTTGCTCTTTGATCTTCCTTCTCTCTGATCAATCTTGTTTTTGTGATTTATTGAGAACCTACATCTCTGTCGAGTGGTCCTGGACTGTTTTGATTTCTCCGGGAACTCCTCTCTTCTGTTTTCTGCGCATCTAAAGAGAGAGATTTTATTGGATCTCTCTCGTTTGACCTCCGTTTGCAGCAAGAATTGAAAGGAGTTGTCGCCTAGCCCTTCTCAACATATTCTGAAATTTTTACAGAGATCCGTGAAGTTTTGAGAGAGATCTGGACTCTTCTTCTTGGCTGCTGCGCCCAGACTTTTCCTTTTCTGGACTGTGTTCAGTTTCTCCTTGTTTTGGATCTTGAACAATCTCCGGTGAAAGTAAGGGGTTTCTATCTCAGTTTTTTGACTCTCTTGGATTGATTACAGCCTATTTCACTCGTCTTTAGATCAAGTTTTACTTTAGTTTAGTTTCTTTAAACTTCAGCCTAACCCTATTTTGTGCTTTTTTTCTTGCTGTAATGGCTTCAGACAGAGGTGATATCATTCCTATAAAGATGAATGGACGGAATTATGGGATGTGGAAGTTCCACTTCGACTTTTATGTTGAGGGAAAGGGTTTAGAAGGATATCTGAATGGAACGGTCACCAAACCAGCTGAGACCGAGGCCAAAGCTTTACAACAATGGAAGTTGGATAATGGTAAACTTGTTTCTTGGATTCTGAGTTCTATTGACTATCATATATCTATACCCATGAGGAGATTGAAAACAGCACATGAGATGTACATGTATCTAAAAAAAGTTTATCAACAGTCCAACGTATCTAAACAATATCAGATAGAATCAGAAATATTCTTTTACAGCCAAGGAGATAGGAGGATACAGGAGTATTATTCTGATTTTCTTGATTTATGGGCTGAATATGAGATTGYTCACATTGAACCCTCGGATCCAGTAGAGTGTGTGAAATATCTTCAAAAGCACTTTGAGAAGAGAAAGGTGACTCCGTTCCTGATGAGACTTAGACCTGAATATGAGATAATCAGGTCCAACATTCTAAGTAGGGGAACACTTCCAGATATGGATTCTGTTTTAGGGGAACTTCTGAGGGAAGAGACTAGACTTCTCACTGCAACCGGGTTTGATGGGAAGATGGCTGAAGTTGGGGCTGAAACAACCTTTGTTGCTCATGGGGGTAAGAAGCCAACCTCCAAGGACTTCTCCAAAACCCAATGCTATGAGTGTAAGGGTTTTGGACATATTGCATCTCACTATAAGAAGAATGTGCGTACCTATTGCAAGCAACATGGTCACATCATTCCAGACTGTCCAGTCCAACCAGCTAAGGGCTCTCAAAAAAAGACTCAGCCTCAGGCCTATCAGGCAACAGATGGACTAGCAATAGACATTGTATCTACCAGGGGTGGGTCTTCGGCAAAAAGTGATTCAACAGGTGTCATGGATGAAGAAAGGGTCGGCAACTAGTATCTTCTGCTATTTCCTCTGCTTTCTCTGTTGTTGGCTTGTCTGGTAAGTTCTCTGCATATTGTTCTTCCCCTTCACATGCTTGGATTATAGATTCAGGTGCCACCAACCATATGATAGAAGCCTACCTCAATCACCCAATCCCTTCCACTAAAACTCACCATAAACATATTATTACTGCTAATGGTGAAAAGTTGGACATCATTGGTAGTAATGATCTGTCCCTTCAACTATCTCCAACCAGATCCTTTCCTCTCTCCAAAACCCTCTTAGTACCCAACCTTACTACTAATTCGATTTCTGTTGGCCAACTTGTTGATGAAGGAAATGTTCTCACCTTTTCTCATGATGGTTGCTTGATACAAGACCGGTACACTAGGAAGGTGAAAGGGAAGGGGCGTAGGCTAGGCCATCTGTTTGCACTGGAATTTGAGAAATCTCAATCGGAGGCATCCATAGCTTTACTTAGTTCTTCCTTGTCTGATTCTCTGTTGAGTTATAGAAATAATGTTTGGGATTTATGGCATAAACGATTGGGTCATCCATATTCCCAGAAATTAAAATTTTTGTTTGACTCTGGTTTAATTAAGAATAAAATTCCCCCTGTTGATACTTTTGATGTTTCTTGCACTACGTGTTGTTTGAGTAAAAGTCATGTTTTATCATTTCTTCATACATCTGAACATGCCACTAAACATTTTGAGATAATACATAGTGATGTTTGGTTTGCTTCTATTACTTCACGATTGGGGTACAGATATTTCGTATTATTTATAGATGATTGTACCAGATATACTTGGATTTATTTTCTGCAACACAAATCAGAAGTCTTTAGTGCATTTAAATTGTTTCATACTATGGTGCAAAATTGATTCAAGTGCAATGTGACTATCCTCCGCTCAGACTCAGGGGGAGAATATAGAGATGGAGACTTCCTGGCATACTTGAGGAGTTATGGAATTCAGTCTCAGGCAGCTACCCAGACACTCCACAGTAGAATGGTGTAGCTGAACGGAAGAACGAACATATTCTCAGTGTTGTGCGGACATTACTACAGGAGTCTCATACTCCAACTTCGTTTTGGGTAGAAGCAACCAGTACAGTCGTGTATTTGATCAATTTTCTTCCATCCTCTGTTCTAGGCAACACTTTTCCCTTCCAGAAACTTTTTGGTTATCCCCCAGATTTCTCTAGCCTTTATGTTTTTTGTTGTCTTTGTTTTGTTTGTCTTCCTGTTCGTGAACGATCTAAATTAACTGCTCAATCTGCTATGTGTGCCTTAGTGGGATATAGTCCTGACCACAAAGGATTTTTGTGTTATGATCCTGCTATTCGTCGTATTCGGATTTCTCAGAATGTTGTGTTTCTTGAACATATCTCCTTCTTTGCTGGGGTTGCTAGGTTGTCTACTTCCATCTCTGTTTTGCAAGACTTTGATTCAAATGACACTACTACTTCCTCAACTGAGAGAGATCTTCTTGTCTTCACCCACAAGCGGCTACATGTCTCGACTCCTGCACCTACAACCCCCCTTCCACCCGATCCAGAGCATTCATCTCAGATATCCTCTGTAAGTGAAACCTTGACCCAAGATCCTCCTATTTCAGATAGTAGTTCGGTTATTCCACTTCGTCGTTCTACCCATATCTCTCGACCTCCTAACCGCTATGGTTTTCCTTCAAACCATAATTCCTTTTCTATTGTACTTTCTTCCACAGATATCCCTAGATCTTATCAGCAAGTCATTAGAAGTTCTCAGTGGAAAGAAGCTATGGATGCCGAAATTCAAGCCCTCCATGACAATGATACTTGGGATCTTGTGCCAGCTCCTCCAGATACTTCTATTGTTGGAAGTTGTTGGGTCTATACGATCAAACTGAAATCAAATGGCTGTCTTGATCGATATAAGGCCCGGTTAGTTGCCCAAGGATACAGTCAGGATTATGGGATTGATTATGAAGAAACATTTGCCCCGGTTGCTAAGATCACCACAGTTCGGACTCTTATGACCATATCTGTTGTTTATTCCTAGACTATTTACCAATTAGATGTGAAGAATGCTTTCCTTCATGGTGAACTAAAGGAGACAGTCTACATGAAACCTCCGCCTGGATATTGCAGTGATCCTTCACATGTCTGTCACCTGAATAAGTCTTTATATGGCCTGGAGCAAGCACCCAGGGCTTGGTTTGAACGCTTTCGGGATGTTGTTGTTACAGTTGGGTATAATTAGAGTTCCTCTGACTACTCCCTCTTTGTTAAGAGAAGACCCCAAGGTATTACTATTCTTCTATTGTATGTTGATGACATGCTCCTAACGGGGGATGATCATGACGACATTTGTGAGCTGAAGTCCTTACTTCATAACTCATTTCACATGAGGGACCTGGGTCCTCTCACTTACTTCTTAGGTTTGGAGGTTCATCGTAGCAATCGAGGGTATTTTATTTGTCAACAAAAATACGCCTCTGATCTCGTCAAACTAGTTGGAATCACTGATGAGAAACATGTTGATACCCCCCTGGAGCTGAATGTCAAGCTATCTAAATCCGAAGGCCTCATCCTTCCTGATGCTACCTTGTACCATCAGCTTGTTGGCTCTTTGATCTATCTTACTATGACCAGGCCTGATATTTCACATGTTGTTCAGGTCGTCAGTCAATTTGTCTCTRCCCCGAGACAACCTCATATGGCTGTTGTTCGCCGCATCATCTGTTATGTTAGAGACACAACCTCTCAGGGACTATTTTTCTCTTCCTCATCATCCATACAATTGAGGGTTTATGCTGATGCTGATTAGGCTGGTTGCCTTGACACTCGTCGATCCACTACTGGGTGGTGCGTCTTCATGGGTGACTCTCTCATCTCCTGGAAGTGCAAGAAACAACAAACTGTTTCTAAGTCTTCTACTAAAGTCGAGTATAGAGCTATGTCTTCTGCATGTAGCGAGATTGTTTGGCTGAAGTCACTTTTCATGGATCTTGGTATTTCTCTTCCTACTCCTATCCCTATGTATGCCAACAACACCAACACTATCAAAATCGCATCTAATCCAGTCTTTCATGAGAGGACTAAACATATCAAGGTGGATTGTCACTTTATTAGAGACCTCCTTGCTGCAAGCTCTATATCTCTTCCTCATGTTGCCTCTCACATGCAAATTGCCAACATCTTCACCAAGGCCATGACTAAAAGTCGACATCTCATTCTTGTGGGTAAACTGATGTTGATGTTTACGCATCAGTTTGAGGGGGAGTGTGAAGATAATATCTTGATGTACATTATTAGAGTAGTCCTTGTTGTACAATATCGTAGTTCTTATATTTTTATTTGTTCTTTTTATCTTTCAGCCCTGTAAGAGCATTCTCGTAACTGTACATGCATTTTATCTCTTTAATATAAAAGAGACTCTTTGGGGTGGGGGTCGACTATTCTTGACACCCCTAGATCTGTTTTCTTCTTGCTCTGAATTTAGTTCACAAAAGAAAAATGCTTTTAATCCATCATTGATCATTTCCATTCTAAAAAGCATTAATAAAAGAAAATTAATAATACATAGCCTATGAAAGAAAAAAAAATTGTGTGATAAATCAAAAATAATGGGAAAAAACAAATAAAGAAACGGATATAGACCTTATTATGCTGAATGCAATAGAGATATAGAGGAAAGAAAATGTCTGTGTTACTTGTAGTTAAAAGGGGAAAAAATGAAGGGTTGGAGCCCCTACTCCTAGTCACAGAAAGAAAGGAGTGATTACATAGGGAAAAAAGAACAAATGAATGATGCTTTGTTTTGTTTAAAGAAATTAAAAGTCATAGAAGAGACCTTCATGAAGAACAGATGAAGAAAGATACTAGTTGAAGCCATACTATAATAAGCACACCACTTTCTACCCTAAACTTAGTGGTTCTCCAAATTGGAATTTGGTCTTTATGATGCCCTTTTATACCTTTTCACCTTTATTTCAACAATATAATGTTGTTTAGCTGTGCTACACCTTTTTTTTTTTTTTGAGAAGAGGCGACATGTATCACTCATTCATTTATAGCAAAAAAGAGGGATGAACATCAGAGATGTACAAAACGAACACAAAAAGAGCAAAAACAAAGCCAAAGAACCACCTAAATTTCACAGGCATTGTGTTTGCACTATACAAAATGGTCCCATCCACCCCTGTTTTAGACACGCACACACACACAAAAAAAAAAAAAAAATCAGTGATAGAGCACTCCCTTAACCTGACAAGTGACACAATCTAATATCTGAAAATTTTGATTATAATAAACTTCTGCAAAGTGCCACCTATACAGTAGGTGATGGTAGCAAATTTGCAGCACAGACTGTAATTTGTTTCCACAGCCAGAAAGTAGATGCTATATTAGATGCACAGATATATCTCAAAATAGATATGTCGATGACCACAGATTTATCAACTCTACAATGACTTATAATTACAATCCTGCCTACAAAGTATACCATCATTCTTTGCACATCACTACCAAAAATAAAGATAGTGTACCCAGCTTGCCGTTGACCATTCAAAACATTACAGAATAATATCAATGCCTCTAGAGGCTCCTATGACTTATTGGTTGAGGCAGCAAATGTCAACCAGATGATCTACATGCCTGAGACAAAAAGTAGATATTTGGAAGCCTTCTCAAATAAATTACAAAGTCAAGCCTTTTCCAAATATGTATTCAATATGCATTGTTAGAACAAGGACATGGCAAAAAATATCGTCAAAATCCAAACAAAATAGGTGTCATGGAAATTACCAAGTATATTGTTCGCCCTTGAAATTCAAACTGAGCTCTGACCGAATCTCTTGTCAAACCAGCTTCTGGCCCAACCAGAACACGATTTTGTTGTAATAATGTGTTCAGCAGTGTAGACTTCCCAACATTGGGCCGTCCTACAATTGCCAACTGCAAGGGTAATTTAGACTCCTCAACCTCTGAGAAGCAATTATCCTCGCTTTCTCTGTCTGTGATAGAAAACGCAATCTTAGCTAAAGATCAAAAGACAGCAATGGCACAACAGAAATAGTCAGACATTAAGAAGAGCAAGTGCAAAAGATTGTGCAACAATGAAGAATGAGGGCTTTGTATTTGCACCATACTTTCAACCATACTCATTGTTATGATGTTCTCAGTCAGCCTTAATACTGTTGTAACTGTCCCCCTCCCACTTGAGACTTATCTGAAAGAATGAATTTTTTCTAAGGTATTTAAATAAATCCTTTGATCATGGTTACTGATCAAAATTGTTCATGATTGAATTATTTGGTTAATATGGACTATCAACTAATAAGGTAATTACAATGGTTCACTTTTTGTTCTAACATAAGATAACCACTTAACAACAGGGTACTTTTTTTTTATCAATTTAACAATAGGGTACTTTCTTTATTCTACAAGTATGTACCTATCACAACTAGTAGGAATTAGGAAATCATGGACTCAAATTAGTTTCTACTAGCACAAGCAAGCTTATTTCAGTCTGGCAGGACAAAAACTGAGAGACACGTTGCTTACCATTTAAAACATGGAGCATATAATCATCAAGCAAAGGCTGAAGGGTTTCATATAATTCGACCATACCCAATCCAGTCTCTGCAGATATAGGAATGGGATCCCCATATCCTAATTTATGGGCTTCCCCAGCTACTGCAGTAAGAAACCCACTTTGGTCATCAAGTGATTCAGATTTGTTCATCACTAAAATGGTAGCGATTCCAGGTGCATGCTTGCGCAGCCACTTCCCAACTTCTACATCCATTGGTTGCAAACCATCCCTAAAACAGAGATTAGAGGTAAAGAAAGATAGAAAATCCACACCAATAGAGAACAACAATATGTATGCAATAAATGACTAGTATGCCACAACATGAAATAAATACATCAAACAACAAGTCTAAGTTATAAACATACTGATTAAAATAAAAACCTAAGTCATCTAGCATATGCTAAAAAATCATTCATGAAACTGACCTGACGTCCAACAATATGTATGCAATAAATGACTAGTATGCCACAACATGAAATAAATACATCAAACAACAAGTCTAAGTTATAAACATACTGATTAAAATAAAAACCTAAGTCATCTAGCATATGCTAAAAAATCATTCATGAAACTGACCTGACGTCTATCAAGAAGATTGCAAATTGTGTCCTTGCCAGCACATTTCTAGTCATTTCAGAAGTTCTGTCAAGAACACTTCCCGAAGATGCTGCCGTTTCTAAGCCAGCTGAATCCAATACCCTAAACCGCAAGTCACCCAATTTTGCGATTCCTTCACGTATGTCCCTTGTAACATGATCGTCTGGGGTGTTATATACAAGAGCTTCCCTCCTCCGGATAAAACTACATTAGATAAAAGGGAGGGGAGGATACAGTAACTAGCTTCAGATAAGAACACCCTTCCATGTTCCATGCGATCTAAAAAGAAAATACCAGAGAATCAACTCACCGATTAAAGAGTGCCGACTTGCCTACATTAGGACGCCCAACAAGAATTACAGTTGGGAGTAGCTCAGTGTCAACTTTGCTGAATTCAACGAATGATTTATTGCGGATTCTCTTGACCCTTTTTGTTTCAGCACTACCGGCGGTATCAGCGGCAGAATCCACAACTATGAGATCATCACCTGAATTATGACAACCCAGCAGTTTCTCTTCTTTTGCTCCAGCAAGTCCGCAAAATCCAACCGAGAGAGCTCGACATCTCCGCATAGATGAGAATGAGATTAAACTGCAACAGTTCAATCTCTGGGGTGTCACTCTGGTGGTTTTCCTGAGTGAGTTGAGTGCATGACCCAATAAAGCTCCTAGGAAGCATCATCGTCAGCTCAGTTTAGTTTAACCCACATAAATTCTTCAATCAGAACGGCATAACAGATTTATTGGAATCTTAAAATTCGATTAAAAAGGGGAAAATGAAAGATTGTCTAATATATCAATTATCAAGTGGGAATCGAGGATAAACACAATACAAACCAAATGAATTGGCAACGTCTCTTTCGCTTTCGCCCCAAGACAAGAAGCTCTTTACTCCATTAATATTGCTAGGTGGCGTAGGACTGTGCCAGAGGAAGGTGAAGCCACAGGGCGGCCTCCGGCTGGYCAGAAGAGCTCGAACGCAGGATCGTCGAGCCATCTAAGGACTACATTTACATTTTACACTACGGTTGTGCTGCTACAAGAGCAATAGAAAAGGTCTCCGTCTCATTTTCGTATAATCCTTTTGGTTCCAATGCAGCTCTGTTTTCAACTTCGACTGCAACTGACGAGACGGGATACAAATTCAAACCTACACGAATGCCCGGACCTGGAGGCTGGAATGAGGTCTTCTGCTCTTAGGGTTCGTCTTGGACTCACACTCTCGGTCCGATCCAATCGGGCTACTCACTCGTTGGCTTGCTGCTGCCCTTATCGCCCAACGGCCAACGCCCACAAATCACCGTAACAAATAAGAGAGAAAAGATCGAGGCAAATTAACATTACAAAGAAGAAAGAGAGGAGTCATAGAGCCTCCCTTGCCCTCAAATCCGCAGCTTGGTTAGTTTCATGATAAATTTGATGGTATTCTGGAATTGGGATCTGTTCCTCACGCAGGGCGCCCCACACCGATATGACCATGTGAGACGCCCTATTTGAGGAGCAGATCCACTCTCGATTTTCTGCCCCCGCAAATCAGCAGCTCATGAACCTTATAGCATTCCTCTGTGAGGAGTCCATATCTGCTCCTCACATTGTGTGCCTCACAGCATGCAGGAACATTTTCTGTCCTTAAATTTATTATTCATGGGGAGATGTTCCCAATACAGGGTGGGATGTGGGTTGTGAAGAGTGCAGTGTAAGGAACAGATCTCAATTCCTCTGTGAAAGTCTTTAGTATCCACCGCATCTCAATCTTCCTCTTTAAGCTCAGTTTGGAAGGAGTATAAATACAAATATATAGAATGCAAAACCTTGTGTTTTTGGATTATTTTGTATATATTTGTATTTATATTCTTTCCAAACTAAGCCTAAGGCATGACTAGGAGAGAATCGCCCCTCAATAGTAATTGGATGTCCATATAATTTAAGGCAATGTTATAGGCTTCCCAAGCAGCCCAAGCTTTCGCAGGTTAATGGAAGTGTTGTTAATAAAATATGCTTTAACCTTCAACACTTCTCCAAAAGCATATCTTGCAACACATGCAATAGCACAAGAATTATCACAATCTCGAGATGCAACAAAATTTATTTTGATCTCATCATCTCTTGGAAACTTCTAAATAATATGCTTCCATTTATCCCTTTTCGCTATTTCTGCAATTAGGTTGTAACTTCTTTGAGTATCTGAGAAAAGTTAAGCACAAAAACAGAATTTTTGTATGTATTGAATTGAATCCACAAGTGTTTACAATAAATAGATGTTGGTACCATTTACTTTTGGTAACCAGGAAAAAGGGAAAAATATACAAGGTAATGTTTGCTAGACACATATGGTAATCATACAACAATATACAAGGTAATAAATTGCAAGACTCCCCCTCAAGTTGGGGCATGAATGTTGAGAATGCCCAACTTGCGTGTGAGATAACGAAGTTGTGTTGCACCTAGGGGTTTGGTAAAAACATYGACAAGTTGATTAGAAGTTGAAACATGTATAGTGCAAATCAAGTCTTGTTGGAGCTTTTCTCATACGATGTAACAGTCAATCTCTATGTGTTCTGTGCATTCATGAAACACGGGATTAGTAACAATGTGTAGAGCATCTTGTTTGTCACAATAAAGAAAAGCATGTCAATGATGAGATACTTGTAAATCTTGTAATAAATAAAATAATCATTGGAGTTCACAACAAGTGGAGGCCATAGCTTTGTATTCCACTTCAGTAGAGGAGCGAGAGAATGTGTTTTGCTTCTTTGATTTCCACAAGATGGGTGATGGTCCAAGCAAGTTACGATAACCTAAAACAAAGCGACGAGACTCAGAGCAACTGGCCCAATCAAAATCACAATATGCATGAAACTGCAAAAGAACTAGAAGCAGTAAATAGTATTCATTGTCTTGGAGCCATCTTAATCTTAATAAAATGCAAGATCTGATGAGCTGCATCAAGATGCGGCAGGCATGGCTTGTCCATATATTGGCTCAACGCTTACATAGAGTAGGCAATGTCGAGCCATGTAATGGTGAGGTAGGGAAGATGCCCCACTAATCGGCAATAAGAAAAAGGATCAAAGAGCAGATTTCCATCAATGAAGGTAAGCTTGAGTTGTTGCTCCATGGGAACAGGAGAAGGTCGAGAACCAAGAAAACCAACATCATTAAGTATTCTTAAAGCATATTTGCATTAGGATAAGTGAATCCCACTAAAAGAACGAGCAATCTCAAGACCAAGGAAATATTTCAACTACCCAAGGTCTTTAATTTGAAATTGGTGGTGAAGATGATCTTTGAGCTGCTGAGTAGATGAAAGATCATTTCTAACCAAGATAACATCATCAACATATATGAGAATAGCAGTAAAAGAAGTGGTAGTTAAGCATGTGAAGAGAGAGTGATCAGCCTGTGATTGTGTGTACCCTATTGCAATCAAGGTAGCAGATAATTTGGCGAACTATTGTCGAGATGCTTGTTTAAGACCATAAAGTGATTTGTTCAATTTGCATACCCTATGCTCCCCCTGTCATGAAGAACCGAGAGGGATATCCATGTAAATCTCTTTTTTTAGGTATCCATGAAGGAAAGCCTTATTGACATCAAGTTGATATAAATGCCAATTACGAATTGCAGCAACCGCAAGGAGACAACGAATAGTGACAAGCTTTGCTATGGTAGCAAAAGTCTCATGATAATCAAGCCCTTCCTTTTGATTATATCCCTTAGCAACAAGACAAGCTTTATATCTTTCAATGAAACCATTAGATTTATACTTGACTTTGTAAATCCATTTGCATCCAATAGATTCTTTACTTGGAGGTAGTAAAGTGAGGGTCCAAGTATTATTAGCTTCAAGAGTTTGAATCTCCTTAGCCATAGCCTTTCTCCATAAGGGATCATGCATAGATTGTTGTAAACTATGAGGTTCTTGTGTGGAAGAGATAGACATTGAGAATGCTTTGTAAGCAGGGGATAGTTTATCATAAGATAAAACACAAGAGAGAGGGTGTGATGTATTGGACAAAAGACTCTATTGAAGAAGATATTGGCAAAGAAGGTGAAGAAGGACCCTAGGATGACTCATGTAAAGACGGTGGGTGGGGGCTATTGATCCAATAAGTGGAGTGACATGTAAGTCTGGCATGGGTAATGGTACAATATGAGAGGAACCAGTTTCGCTTGATGAGAGGGGGAAGACATCTTCATAAAAGACAACATAACAAGAAACAAAGATTGTTTGAGTTTCAAGATCATAAACTTGATATCGCTTTTTGCCATAACCCTAGAAAATACACCTACATACACAAGGATCAAATTTGGTTCGAGTAGAATTTATCATAGTTGCATAGCACAAACAACCAAACACATGGAGATGAGTTTATGAAGGCTTCAAACCAAAGAAGACTTTATATGGTCTTTTACTAGAAAGGAGTGGAGTGGGTGTTTGGTTTGTGAGATAGGTAGCTGTTAGCACACTATCTCCCCAAAAACAAGTGGGTAGTTCGGCTTGAAATAATAAGGTACGAGCAATTTCGATGATGTGGTGATTTTTTCTCTCAACAACTTCATTTTGTTGTGGAATGTACATGCAACTCTGTTGGTGAACAATTCTTTTGTCATTAAAGAAATCATCCATGTCAAACTCAAGGCCATTGCCACTCTTAACTTATTGGATGTACAAAAAAATAAAAATAGCACGAGTTTCATATCTATGATGCATCAAGTAAACCCAAGTGCTTTGTGAAAAATCATCAACTATACTCAAAAATAATGAGAACCATTCAAAGTGGTTGTATGATAACCACCCCAAATATCATAATGAACAAGTTGAAAATGTCTTGTTGTAGTAATTGAACTGATTGGAAATGACAAATGACTTTATTTAGCTAAATTAATGACAAATATCACAAGGTTCAACATTGTTAGGAACTATCAAACTCGAAATGTCTTTGGACAAAAGACCCATACGATTGTTATAAGGATCCCCCATCTGTTTATGCCAAATGTCATGAGAAATAATAGTAGTTATGGCATGCTTCGTAAGAAAAAAATAGTGTCCACCCTGTTTACCCGCTCCAATCATTGTCTTCAATGACGGGTCCTGTATAAGACAATGATCATGYGAGAAACTTTACGACACATTGACATTGTGTGGTAAGTTTGTGCACTGAAATAACGTTAAAACCAAAAGATGGAATACAAAGAATTACTATTAAGATAATGAAGGGCACTAAAGTAACTGTTCCAATATGGGTAACAGGTGTTAGTCGACCAAAATCTGTTCAATCGAAAGAAATGAACAATTTAAAATAAAATTTTACCTCCAGTGGCCATAACCTCTGTGCAAGGAACTCCCTTACCAATAAGTGTATATTGATCGAAACCGCTTTCTACTTTGATTCCTTGCTTCGGATTGATACAGTCGAGTTACTCAACAGCTACACACCGATTATAGTCGGTGACTCGCGAGAACTGTAATAACCCCTTAGATCTCTAGTTGATTTCTCTTGTGTATTAACTCTCTAGTTCAGTGCTAATAGGGAGTATTCTTTTTCTCTTTTTGGGAGAGCAAAATGAGAATGAAACTTGAAGGAGAAAAGCCAAGAGGGATCACACGCCTAGGGGAGATGGATCCTCTCTCTAGTCATTCTTTTAGGCAATCTTCCTATCAAAGATCTTGCCTAATTAGAGGGAATTTAATTCCCATAATTTCTGTCAATCAATCAGCCCCATGGTTTCCAAAATTGTAAATGGGATATTTAAATTAAAATTTGAATCTCACAAATCCCTCAATTTATGAGGCTGTTTTATTAGGAAATTGTTTAAGTCCAACACCCTCATAATGAGCTCTAATTAGGGTGATTGGATTTGGACCAATTCAATCTGGATCGTGGCCATTATGATGGGCCACAATCCGGGTCCTACCCAACGGGTAATTTCTCTAACAACATGCACACTAAACCCATTTGGTAACTTGATAGTTGAAGAACCAACAACAGTAATGGTGGATAACAAAGAAACTGAACAAACCATGTGGTCGGTGGTTCTTGTGTTTAATATCCACTGAGTAGTTGAAGAAATTAAAGTGAGACTAAGAGAGATACCTGATAACATGTTATCTGATTGAGAAATATACCTGCAAGGTTGGCACTATGAGGGGACTTATTGAGTAATATTTAGTAGTTGTTGATATTGAGCTGGAGTGAAGGGAAAGTTTCCAGCAGATTGGTTTGTATTAGTTTCACATGAAACCTGATTTGCATTAGAATGTGAGGCATCCTTCTTGTAGAGACGATGACCTAGAGGATACCCATGAAGCTTATAACACCCATCCATAGTGATCACAAGGGCGTCTTTCTTGATTTTCTGTTCCTTTCTTCTTTTGTGTCATTGCATATCTATTATTAGTAGTAGCATCTCCTCCGGTAAGAAATGCAACTGAATCTGAATGAGTAGTGCTACCAATCACGATGTCATGTTGCCACTCTTCTTGTAAAAGGAGGGAGAAGTACAGATACAGTTGATGCAGAATTCTGAATTCCAG